GCGGTTGAATGACGACATGCAGCTAAACATGTCATCACTGGTCAGATCAGGGAGGGGACCAGAGAAAATTAATGGGGGTGTTTCCTATTAAGTAGCACCAGCTGGATGACAGACAGAAATAACATTACAAACATTTCACAAAGTGACAGCAGTGAGATGGGATGTCTGCTTCCTGTCTACTTGATGTTGGCCAGTTAGCAGAGCAGAGATCCATTATCTGATCAGAACAAAATGGCAGAAATAAAAGACATTCATAAAAAAAAACAACAGAAAGGGGATCAGAAGAGAAGAGAGTTTATTTAGCAAAGTTAGGCTGGATCACATAGGTGTGCATTAAAGCAAAGACTGGCTCTAAGGAGCGGAACGTGGTGAAACTAAACAATGGACGTAGAAAAGATGGCGCTTCAGTACATCTCAGCTTAAGGTTAACTGATTTATTTCATTTGAGTTTAATATGGGGAAAAAGTCAGAACTCTGATTTTATTTCCATATTAAGCTGAAATAAAAAAAAGATCAGTAAACCTTGTAATTTATTTCCTTGTGGCCCTAATCCTCTTCCGTAAAAACCAGCAACATGGTGGAAAAATCAGAGGAAAACAAACCTGGTTTGCTGTTTGCAACAACAAGCCAGCAGGGGTCACTGTTCTACAAGGAAAATCAGAGGAAGGAATTTACAGACACCAATAATAGATGGATTATTTTAATAACTGATATTGGTCAGACCCAAGTTATTATAAAAACATTTATGGCTTCAAAAACCGAAAACAAAACATCAATCTATTTTCAACAATAGAAAACAGGACCCAGGGGCGGATGTAGGAAATGTGGGGCCCTAGGCAAAGACAGGCAGGGGTCCCTCTGAATTGAGAAGGCAACACATAAAAAAGACCCATTCTACTATGGAAGCAAATCGTTACCATATTTAAAATGAAAAAGCATTTCCAGATATGCTTTGTTATTTTAAGAATGTGGCAGCATTGTTTGACTCATAAATAAAATTAGTAATCAATAATCCTGTTTGCGTTTTAATTTTCTTG